TGAGCAGCAGGGGGTGGGGAGGGAAAATGGGGGAGGGTAAATGGGGGAAGGGTTTAGGGCGAGATGTTTGTAGGGTCTTCAGGGCTCACTAATGGGGTGTTTCTCTCGGCACAGGGAACCTTCAGCAGTCCTTCTAATCTCCGGAAGACCTTCAAGGTGACCGATGTCGGCGCTGTGGGGGTGGCGGGTTTGGACCTTCACACCGGACATTGTACTGATATTGTGATATGTCACTTCACAGGTCCCAGAGAAGCTGTATATTCTCACCGCGCTGGCCGCACGTGCCAAGCTGCGGGCGTGGAATGACGTGGACGCGCTTTTCACCTCGAAGGTCGGTGCCAGTCACAGAATAAAGATCATCAATTCCACCGACAGACTCTTCATATGAGGAATGTCGTCTGTTTTATGCATTTGGCGTGTGCGGGAAGGGTGAGGGGTGTGCAGGTGGTGTGTGAGAGATTTGTGGACAGTGTGCGGGAAGGGGGGGGGGGTGTGCAGGAGGTGTGTGAGAGATTTGTGGACGGTGTGCGGGAAGGGTGAGGGGTGTGCAGGAGGTGTGTGAGAGATTTGTGGGGGGTGTGCGGGAAGGGTGAGGGGTGTGCAGGAGGTGTGTGAGAGATTTGTGGACAGTGAGGGGTGTGCAGGAGGTGTGTGAGAGATTTGTGGACAGTGTGAGGGGTGTGCGGGAAGGGTGAGGGGTGTGTGTGGGAAGGGTGAGTGGTGTGCAGGAAGGGTGGGGTGTGCAGGAGGTGTGTGAGAGATTTGTGGACAGTGAGGGGGGTGGGGGAGGGGTTGGTGTGTGAGAGATTTGTGGACAGTGTGCGGGAAGGGTGAGTGGTGTGCGGGAAGGGTGAGGGGTGTGCAGGAGGTGTGTGAGATTTGTGGACAGTGTGCGGGAAGGGTGAGTGGTGTGCAGGTGGTGTGTGAGAGATTTGTGGACAGTGTGCGGGAAGGGTGAGTGGTGTGCAGGTGGTGTGTGAGGGAAGGGTGAGTGGTGTGCAGGTGGTGTGTGAGAGATTTGTGGACAGTGTGCGGGAAGGGGGAGGGGTGTGCAGGTGGTGTGTGAGGGAAGGGTGAGTGGTGTGTGAGAGATTTGTGGACAGTCTGCGGGAAGGGTGAGGGGTGTGCAGGTGGTGTGTGAGGGAAGGGTGAGTGGTGTGCAGGTGGTGTGTGAGAGATTTGTGGACAGTGTGTGAGGGAAGGGTGAGATGTGTGCGGGAAGTGTGCAGGATGCAGACCGTCTCTTCTGTACAGCTCAGTCTCTGACCACCTGACATAATGGAAACCTTCAGCGTCACGCGTGGTTAAGCGCGCAGTGAACTCCAGCGGCGTCTCCTCTTGTCTCCTCAGAACTGGTTGGGTTACACCAAGAAGAAAGCGCCAATCGGCTTTCACAGAGTGGTGGAGATTTTACACAAGAATGGGGCCCCGGTACAGGTGAGCACCATAGAGTGGAAGTACTCCCAGCAGCGGGAGTACTCGTGGTTGTGGCCCCCATGATACAGATCTAATATGTTCTCCTCCCTCTGTAGATCCTCCAGGAATACACGCGGCTGGTGGAGGACGTGGAAACCAGAATATCGCTGGGGACGAAGTACAAGTGCCACCATGTTGTAATCGATGTGAGTAATAGTGCGGGAAGAGTACTCCACGGGCCGGCGCCCATTGTACACAACTCGGAGCTGAGCACTGCCTGCAGGGACATGGCACACTGTGCACCCCGACTGCGGTCCTTGTGACATCACCTCCCCACGGTCTGCGCCTCCATTGTCTGTGTGCCCGCCCCCAATC